TTGTCACATAGCCTTTTCATCATCCACTGGTTTTATTACTGGAACGTGAAAACGAAAAGCAATGCAGTTTATTTAAGAGGTTTTAGACTTGCTAAATATACATGTGTGTCCTCTGTGATTGGATGTTGAAAATCCATTAATTTCCACACAGCCACTCCTCCCCATGACCGGCATTGATCATATGTGATGAGATAAGCCTCTTTGCTTCTGGAAGGGCGGAATCACATCTGGTTGCCTTTTCTCTGTCTTTGTCCATTTCTTCAGGTTTCTTTAAAACTAATTGGAGGAGTCAATAAATATGCCTGCCAATTCCCTTTACACCCTAGGAAGGCAGCTCACCATGCCCTTCAGACCTGTTCTTGCTGTTTTTCCAAGTATTCCCTTACCTGCCTTTGTCAATTGGCATTCTCGACAAGTTCGTCATAACTTCTCAAAGTGTCAACTTTTCCTCTTTTCATTGCCCTTGTTAAAGATAATTTAAAATTAGAAAGTCACATTCCCAGCCATTTCAGAGTCAATGCTAATGTCATTTTCTTTAGCACAGAAGTCTCTTTCCCCTCTAGAAATTCCCTGCCTTCATCCACAGCCCCTACTCCTCAGCCCCAAAACAGGCACTACTAATCTCTGCAGGCACGAGTCCATTCCCCTATTTCACCCTTCTTATCTTTCGCCCAAAATACTTCACCCAGTGAAACACACTTTAGCTTGTGGTTCTCCTTCCTTCACTCCACTTCAGAGAGAAATGTCTGGGTCTAGAGATTGTAAAGTCACCTTCAGGAAAGAAGCATACGGTTGGCTGTCAGTTAATCAGGAAAAGACAAAAAAATTACATCATGTGCAGCTTGGCTTCTCAGTACATGCATTTATGTTTTGGGGATCAAGAGGACTTCTCCCGTACAACTTAAAATTCATATTTATGCCTTTTGTTTGGCTATAACTAATTCCCTACCTAACTGCACAGTAGTTAATAGTCTGGAATACTTAAAACAGTGATTACCATACTTCATAGTAGAATCAAATGTTGGTTCCCTCATTTCCCCCTCATTCTGTTTCACCTCTATTTTTGCCTGGTTATCCTTGGTAGCAATCTTTGCTTATAAAAAAATGTCAGATGATTTTATATTCTATAATTTTTATTTCCATGGCTAGCTTGACATATAGGTTTTAAGCCCGTTTATTTTCCCCCATTAAGCACACACCCAAACATCACCATTCTGATCACATGCACACCCATCAAGTTTCAGAGTGTCATTTATACACAATTTTATTTCTTACTTTTTTCACACACGCCTACCACTTACGTACAGCAACTTCACTACATTCATATTTCATAAACTTCATCAGTATTCAGCCAAACCCTCCCCCAAAGAAAGCTGGGTATTTTTAACAGTGTGCTGCTTCTTTCACCGGCTTGAGGATCCTATACTAAACGGCACCCTTCCTTGCATCCTAGAAGAGTTTGTCTATTATGGTCTGTGCATGGAGGCAGAAGCCTCTTAATTGTTTCAGGAAACTTTAAGATGTTCATTACCAAGCTGGGTGCAGTGGTACACACTTGTAGTCTCGGCTACTGAGAAGGCTGAGGCAGGAGGAGCCCTTCAGCCTATCTCTTTAAGAAGAAGAAAAAGAAAAAAAAAAAAACTAATAAAAATATAGTTCATCATCAAAAGTAAAACACAATAACACTGTCAAGATTATTCTAGGCTGGGAGATTATCAGTAAATCCTCTATACCATAATATTTCCTACTTATTTCCACCCTCTGACTCTAGTTTCAGAGAAAACATCTGTGGTATAGAAAGTCTACCTGGGGCAGCCTGGAGTCCCCCACCACCTACAAGGGTGTGTGAAACCTGTACTCTCAGCTGTCAGTGGGCGCTGCACAGGGCTCCCCAGAGGACCACCAGGGCCCCAGCTCTGTGGACAAAACAACCAGGAAACCACAGCGCCATGTCATTATTAACGTGCCATACTATGTAATATGATAAGACAGTCTGTGATAATGACATGTCAGTGAAGGCCATAAAAATATGTTAGAAAAAAAATTGTTCTTGCACCAACACAAGGGAATTCCTTTCAGCATTAGCACGTAAGAGCTGGAACAAAATGCTGCCCTGCCTACACTGTGAGCTGTGGGACATTAATTCCTCATCATGCCCCATTCCTCTCTTCCAAGGATTTCTTTAGACAACCTCTTTGATGCCTTTGCTCCAAAAGCAAACGAAAAATAATAATAATTGGGCTGTCACGAAAGCACACCAAGACTCCCAAGCTGAATTTCCACCACTACAATATCAAAGATAATCACAAGACAACTGCAGAATATATCATGAAGTCAAGCGGGACAGTCCTGAGAAAGCCAGCTTCTGATGGTGTGGTTCCAGGGATGCTTTCCATAGTCACCCAGTGAAAGCAGCCTATGCTTGGAAAGAGGGTTTTTGGGGGGCAATCTAAATGTTCTTTATTGACATTCTTGAAATTATTCCTTCTAATCCTAGAGTTTCCTAACTTTCAGGCTTTAAGAGCCTCATGCTAAAGATATCCCTTCAATGTATCTATGGAAGAGTTAGGACTACCTGGAGTTTCTATCTACCATTAGATGGGGGGAAACTTACAATATGTTATCATAATACCGTAAATAACTTATTTGAAAATACAATATCCTTCCTGAATATTCAAGAATGACTTTACCGCGAGGCGTGGTGGTTCACGCCTGTAATCCTAGCACTTTAGGAGGCCGAGGCGGATGGATTGCCTGAGCTCAGGAGTAGGAAACCAGACTGGGCAACATGCTGAAACCCTGCCTCCACTAAAACACAAAAAAATTAGCTGGGTGTGGTGGTGCATGCCTATAGTCCCAGCTGCCCGGGAGGCTGAGGCAGGAGAATTGCTTGAACCCAGGAGGCGGATGTTGCAGTGAGCGGAGATCCTGCCACTGCACTCCAGCCTGTGTGACAGAGCGAGACTCTGTCTCAAAAAAATAAAAATAAAAAGGAATGATTTTACATCCTCTTTAACTCCAGAGAAAGAATTAAGAAGAGCCTAGGCTCTAAATGAAATTTTCCTATAAAGTAAAAATCTCAACTAGAATCAACTAATTGAATTTCTATTTTGCTACTTGCAACTTAGAGAACAGGGGAGGCAAATAACAAAACATACTGATATTGAAGATTTAACAAAAAAAGAAAGAAAGAAAACAATTTCCAGGCTGGGATCAAGATAGATTTAGTCCAATCTCTGACACTGTGTCCATTTACAGTTCTATAATGTACAATTGGAATTCATACTCAGAACGGTGACCTTGTGGCACCGTAAGATTCTCAAACCTCCAAGAAAGAATCAATTACATTCTCAATGTTCTTTCTAGAGTAGGAAAGGGGACTAATACATTTAGAAAACTTATTCAACAAGGAAAGGACAAAAATTTTTTGGGCTAATCTACTGTTAGTCACAAAAGCCAATTCATCAGTAATGTCCTCACACCCTTAGAGAAAAATCATGGTTTACTGTGTATTAATCAATGCTTGAACACTGATTATCAGGCTTTTTTTCTTTGAAGCATTAATTTTAAAATGGTACAATTTTATTTTAACATACAGGGTAAAAAGATGAGTGAAAAAATTAACAGCTCATTTCTAAATCGACACTTCCTATATGAATTAGAAAAAAAAAACACACACTAAAAAATGACAGAAGAGACAAAGAGAGACAGAGAGAGTATTATTCCTAAATTCTGAGCAAAAAAGGCAATCTTCATATTCAGAAAAGTATTCCAAATTCTGGATGAGGATTCTCTCCAACACCTGAAGGCCTTTCAAAAATACTCTCCTTGTTCCTGCATAATGTATCACTAATCTGGAAGGAATGGGCCAGGAATCTGGGAGGGAGTATATGAGGTCTACCCCAAAGTTCCTGTGTATTGGCTTGTGGAAGACGGTAAGTGTGAACAGCCAGATATGTCATAACAGGAGAGGTGCGTTTCCTATAATTTTTTTTATTTGTTTTTGCACACATGGGAATCACATTACAGCTCTTTCCCCAGACACCTGGGAAACATAGATATGCATTTTGCTTCCACAGAAGTATATGCTAAGAAGCTCAATTCATCAAGTTTCCCGGAAAGATGAAGGGGAAAGGAAGAGTAAGTTCAGAACACGTGGCATATGTTTTAAGAGACCATCCCACATGAACCTCTAATAACCTCCAACTCCATCTGTCCTTCCAACATCATACCGCAAGCTCCTAAACGCAAACACAGGAGAAGCTGGAGGAAAAAACATATCTTCATTCAGAAGTGACAGGTCCAAGGAAAAGAACCCATGGTTTGTCTCACTCAAATTCCAAAGATTAGCTCTGGACAGAGGGCAGTTTGCTTCCAAAAGTGATTCAGCTGTTACCAAAAATCCTCGGAACATTTTCATCCGGAGGTGAAGTATTACAATTAACATTCTCACATTTCCCTGTGTCTTTACGAGTCTACAGTGGAACCAGGAGTGTGTGCTACAGTCCCCACTTCTGCTGCCGTGAAAACAACCTGAAGGGTCTCATCGTTAGGGGCTTCCACGCAGGCTCCGTACTTCAGTTTCAGAAATAGAGGCGTTCTCTAATGCCAAGGGCTCCTCACAATGCCAGTAGGTACTGGAAAATTCCAGCAGGTGACTCACATTAAAAGAGTCTCCTATAGATGTTTTGAGCCACTCAGGACTTGAATTCTAGATTAATAATTCAATTCTTTTTTAAGAAATAAGGGGAAGCAACAGAAAAGATTATCATAACTATCATCAAATGCATTTTCTAAAATTATTCTATTACATTTTTAAAGGGTATTATTATAAATGTTTTTATGAGCAATTTACCGGAAAATTAAAGTCCTTTAGTTTAAAAAAATAATTATGTTATCCCTCTGGCAAAGGATTTTCTCCCAGCCAGTAGCTCTTTCAAACTATGGGGCATCATTTGCTCACTGTGGCAAGCCGGGTCCACGCACGGAAAGTTGATCTGAGAATCAATCTTTAGAAAGGGCGCTAAATTGCTAGGTAAGAGCACCTACTAGAAAGTGAATCAGCCAAAACTGAAGGGGGCAAGAGAGGCCACGCACTTTCAAAGTCAAAGACTTACGTGATTCCAGAAGTCCTCAGGGCTACACATAAGCTACAGGCCCTGTTAAGGGATTTTAAGTCCATCTAAGCTGAGCTTCCAGGGTGTTCGATCTCAACCCAACTGAGCTTTTCACTGTTAATCCATCTTTCGGTTTCGATTTTTCCCTTAGGTCTGCCGGCCCTAAAAGCCTTCAACCTTCAGCACTGGTGTTCCAAACCAACCGCGTGGTCCACAGCCATGTGTGGATAACTAAAGTAAAATATGTAAGCTGCCGGCATGCACATATAATAACGAGACTCTGAAAAAGGGTTTTTAACAACAGTTATGTCACAACGCTCATGGCTCCCTGAAGTCCCTGAAAGCCTTGTTAAATTAAAGATTCGCTGTGGTTTTTTTCCGCTTCGTTCCTACTTCCCATGTTGCTTCCTGCCTTTCTTTTTTCTCTTTCATTGTGTTGGAAAGATGGAACTGAATGACACAGGCCATCATGAATATCACCTAGAAAATGGAAGAGTTTCGTTAAAACTGCTAACATTCCCAGCACAGTTTTATGGACAGAGGAAGGTCGCCTTTCAGATTATAAAGTCACACATCTGATTCTGCAAGCTCAGGCAATAAAGGTACACAGTGCATTCACACTTGGATTCCCAAGAGTGAGGAATTCAACAGTAGCCTCAAGTCTACCTAGGTAGTGTCTCATGAGGTCACTGCAATGTCATGATAATCCAGACCACAGTTTCTGCGGACTTCAAACACCGACTGGCTAGAAGCTAAACCTGTTACCTTTTGGAAAGCATCTCCCAAATCAAAAGGCTTCCCATTTCACCCAATGCCAAGAACTCCACTCCACCCTCCTGGAGGTTGAAAATGCTAATTATAAGGTGATGATGTTTGCTTTTCCTTTCTAGTCGTGTGCCTTTATGTTTTAAGTATTTAAAAGGCGTAATCACCTAGTGTGTAGGTTAATTTCTTTCCGATATTGTAATTTATGCAACATTAATACTGGATGCCAGCTCCAATTTTCTTACTGCTTACACTCTGGGAGCCGACTTGCATATTCTGCCAACTCCATTACATCATCTGAAAACCCAAACATTTCCCATTTTCAAATCACTCTCAACTACCAGGCATACTTACACATTCTCTCTTTTTCTCCCTAGCTCACACACACAAAGATTGGTACCCCTGAGGAGCAGATGCTGCATCTGAGGTTAAAGTCTGCAAATGCACATAATTTCTGGAAGCTATTACTACTGCTGTGTTAGCTAAGGGATGCCTCCATCTCTGACCTTCCTTTTTCCATTCAGACTGTTATATAACCCAGTGCCTGCGTGCAGAATGTGAGTTGAGTGTTTGGGCCTTGCCACCCCCCTCCCATTAAATCTTCTAGGAGGGACAGACAGGGCTGGTTCAAAAAATGAGTTGGGGAGGCACAGGGTAGGGGTGAAGGGGATATGGGTCAGCAGGTTAGCTGTGCAAGATGTAACCCACTCCTGCTATGCCCCTCTCCCTTTTTGCTGAGCCTAGGGGGCTGGTGGCACTGAATGCCCCAGCGTTACATAATTTGCAAGAACAGCAAGTTACGGATTTGCTAGTCGGTTCTGCAGCCTGCCACCCTGATCGCTTGCAAGAACACCTTCTGGCAAGAATGACACCTGAAGATGTTAATAACACACTGGGTGGGCGGTGGGGGTCAAAAAGGAGAAGGGTGGCAGCACAAACCAAAAATTAGTGCGGCTTCCTAAATACTATGTCCCCCTCATTCCAAAAAAAAAGCCCCAGAAACACATGAAGGGGATTTTCTCCAGTGTTTCTGATTAACCCTGTTACATAACCCGCTCGCATTCCAAATCCACCGTCTCAGGGTCTAAATATACTCTTTGCAGCCAAAAGCTCCCCGCACACAAACTCACCGAGCTTAGCGGCAGGTCCGGACCCCCAGCCCTCATCCCCTTCCCTTTCGTCCCAGCCCTCGCTGCCCCCCTCCCGCTGAAACGGCAGTTCGGCATGGTTACTCTTTGGAAATCGCCTTTAATTAAATGTTTTTCGCGTGTGTCATCCTGATGGCTTTTACTGTACTCGAATTCCGTGAATGGGAAAGCGCCTGGACAGGGGGTGTGGCTAAGGTGGGGGGGGAATACTGTAAAACAGCCAGCACATGATCAGCCATATTCCTACCTCCAACTATAACATCGAAAGGAAGGCAGCAGCTCCTGGGGCCCCCATTCGCCTCTACCCAGCCCTCCCCAACCACTGCCGAAGCCGATTGCAAGAGGAGGGGGCGCACTGGGCCGGTGCCCAAGCCGGGGCTAGAGAAAACCTCTCCGTCCCCAGCTCGCGCGAGCCCGCTTCCTCCAGAGTGACAGGCGTGATTTATACATTATTTACAACAGTAATTAAAGCTGTAGCTTCCTCCTGTTCTTTGCAAACTCCAGGCGCATTCAAATAAATAATCCCCTACTCCCAAGAAAAACCCACATTAGGTTCCAATACCTTTAAGAAAGAGTGAGCTTTCCTCAACAGCTTACTTTAGGAAAGGAGGGAGCAACTGAGCCCCCCCCAACCCCCCCACCCCACACGCACACACAGACCAAACACCAAAATGAAGAGTAAAAATCGCCAGGGGAGGAGGAAACATCCCTTGCACTGTCCAACCAGCATGCAACCAGCACTGACCATCCCCAGGTTCCTGCAGAAATGCTTGGAACCTCCGAGAGGGAAGGATTCCCAGAGCAGAAATAAGTTTGGGTGCTTGCTTTTGTAGACGCTCCCTCCGAATGCGCGTGGAGCGCCCCACAGGACCGCCGCCCTCGGCGTGCTGGCGCGCACACGCCCCCAGCCAGCCTGGGAGCTGGGCTCCGAACCCCCGGTCTGCAAACTTGTGCATCTCCCCTCACCGCATCTCCCCTCACCGCGCCCGCCAGACAACTTGGCCAGCAGCTCCAGCGCCCGCACCCCCCTTCCTCCAGCCCTTCCTTCAAATCTCAAACGCACCGCCGTGCTCCAGAGAAGGTGTCCACACCGCCCCAGACCCCGGAGCGCCCCCTCTCCACCCCCTGGATTTCCCAGGTCGCTCACTCTACCCGCCCCCCGCCCAGATCTGAGAGGGACCCAACACACACCCCTCGGGCAGCCGGGGCCGAAACTGTCAAGAGGAGAAAAGGTAACGCAGGAGGAGGGTGGCCATAACAGATTTTTTTTTTTTGGCCCCTTCTTAAAAGGACACTGCCGCTTTAAAAGTTTCTTTCCCGGGCCCCCATTCCCCGCTTCTCCGTATTTTGGGGGAGCGTATTTAATTAAGGCAACGCAGCTTTCCTCCTGTGTTTGCAGAAAAATCAAAGCCGGGGGTGGGGGCGGTGAGCCGGCCGGCTGTCAACCTTCCCGCCGCCTCCCCCGCCCCCCTCTGCTCCCGCAAGCCGAGAACGGGCTGCAAAAGTTTGCAACATTTCTGGGGGGCGGAGGGGGGAGGGGTGGGGGATCCTCCGGGCTCGGGGCGCCGCCGCAGGCTCGCGCGCGGCCGCCGGACCCCGCGTCCCGGGCGCCCGCTCCCGGCCGCCCCCCGCTCCGCGCCCGGGCTCCCGCCGCCCCCTCCCCAGCCCCTCTCCAGCCTCCTACCTCTGCTGGTGCTGGAATAGCTCTGTCTGCGCACCGGGGCTGGCGGCTCGCTCTTGCGGGCGGATTCCTGGTTCAGCGGGGTCTCCCTGGAGCCGGCGGCCGCGTCCGCGCCGCTGCTGCCTGGCTCGCTGGCGGCGGGGTCGGGGGCTGCCGGAGCTGACTCCATGTTTTTTCCCAATGTAGAGATCGCTGGAGATGGCGAGCTCCGAGACTCCCTCTATCTTCTGTTTTCAGAGCAACTCTATGGTACCAA